CACAGTGAAGCCTGCCAAAGCCTGGTTGGCATTTGTCTCTAATTCCAAATAAATCCTATTGGGAAAAAACCCCCAACCTCATGCTCCATATCTGGATGTAAGCGTACAGAAGAGATTAGCTGTTACTAAGAATAAAACCAACGTGCACTGTGACGACAGCTGGGTAACAAGCACTAACAATCGCAATTCTCCCAGTAGTGAGCTGAGCACTGGCTGAAGTCAGAAAAATGTGTTTTCCTATGGATAAACTGGGGCTGATACCACTGCATCGAGGCTGGTGGTGTTTGATCCCAGGCCCCTTCTGCGTAGATATCCCTGTGCCCAGCACATGTGTATCAGTCTGGTGTTTGGCATTAGAGATAAAGCCACAACTCCGTGAAGAGGATTTCCCTGTGGTTAAAATCTGCTTTTCAGAGGTGCTGCTCCCAGTGTGACCAATAACCCTGTGCCTTTTAAGTGCTTTCCAACTCTCTTACAATGATCACAGCAAATTAAAAGTGCTGAGTAATGGGATATTCAGCAAGAAAAAAAACCCTACCCAGACCATTACAGCTCCAAAAGAATATGCATCCAGTTTTTCAGTCAGGGGTTGTAAAAACGAAGACTTTCAGCGCTGGTACAGCTGAGAGGATGATGTGATCCGTGTAGCTCATTAGTGCTGCGATAGCACCCCCATGAGTCAGGCCCCACCGTGCAAGTGCTATGTCAGGATCTCCTAACGTGCTGGAGATAGATTTTGGCCTTGTTATCACTTGTACATCTCCATCCCTGCAAGACATGGGGGCAAACTCTTGTCTTGCTGGGCTTTCTGATCTGGACTACCACCAAATTGCTGTTCTTCCCTCTGCTCCAGCTGCAGTAACTGCACTGGTACCTCCCCAACTGCAGAGGGAAATAAATCCATCTCTTTCCAAGCTTCTGCTCCTTACCTTGAAGTGATTGTGTTGTCCTCCAGGCTGCTTTCACAGATTCACTACATTGCCACAAACAGCAGAGAAAAATGTTGTCCGCCAAATAGAGAAGTGGATAGATCTCGGTTTAGTTATTATTTTCCAAAAAGTTCTGGAGTCTATTTCTTTCAAGCACAAACCAAAGGAAGAATACAGAAGTTAAAATAATTCTGTAGAAGGCAGTTTATTGCATGGTGTAGTGCCAGTTCAAAATGAGCTCTTTTGCTGTTGATCACTGAATTCTAAAATCACCCTATTTTATCTAGCGCTATCAAAACCTGTAAGCTATAAATATTATATAAATTTTATTATGTATGATGTCTCACACTAGTAATGTTTTACACTGGGTCAGCATCGACAGCCCCATACAGGCCACATGGTCACGCACAGCTTTATTTGTGCAAGACATGGACCTGGCCCCTCTCCATACCATGAAAACTTGCTTTGAAAAGGACTCTGCAGCCCACAAACACCATCTGTGCCCTAACACCCCTCTGTTTCTGTTGCGAGAGACAGCAACTGCAAGAGGCAGAGAGAATTTTATAATGCCCATGAAGCAGCCTTTCAGGCGCAGAATTCAGCCTTATAGATGAGGTGATTAAACAGTTATATAAAAATACCTGGTTTAGATATCCATTTCCTCATCTAACTCTTTGCTTTCAAAGTCATATTGATTAAAAAGGAAAAAAAAAAGATATAAAACCCAACAATGGGCATAAGCCCTGAAGCACTGCAGGCCGCCCAAACAGCTCCCTCTCTCCCATGCCCTGCACTCTCCTGCAACATGCTCATCAGTTGAGAAATGTTTTTGACATGTGGTGGAAAAATAATTCCATTGATGGCAATGACTACCTTTTTCAACAGACCACTGTGCAGGAACATCCCAATCTTGAAAGCTCATCTGTTTTTTCCTCTGAATGGAGTGTGTTTACCTGCCTTTACTACGAAAGTCCAGCAAGGCCCAGGGTCAGAACTCCCTTCTTCCTTCCTCAGCAGATGAGCAGTAAGACATGTAATGAAAGGATTAATCTGGACAAGAAGCTTTGCAGAGCAGCACACTCTATTCCTTTCGGACAGACTGGAGGTAAATCTTGGTCTTCCTCCCACACAGGGTATTGCACCAGCTTTCAGGTTTTAATAACATTCTCCAGTGCAGCCAGAAAACGAAAATCGTTTGATGGGGAGACGCTTCCAGCAAAGTACAGCCATCTCTGGCAGCAGATACTGTTATTTAGCAGCCCTCAGCAATTCAACAACATTATATAAGGCAAAAAGAATATATTCTATCAGCTGCATCCTCCTAACTGAGGCTTAGTGAACAACATTTCTGTTATACGATATATATCTGCAAATAACTTCAGTAAATAAGTTAAAATGTGTTAAATACTGTCCTGCTATAGAGGCAAACCATCTATAATCATGAGAAACATGGTTTGAAATGCAAATAGGAGCAGAATTCATTCCAAACATTACAGATAGCTGAGAAGCCACTCAGCTTCAGTTTCAAAATCTCTAAGGTACCATGGGAATTTCCTACCTTCAGTCTAAGTGTGGGGTGGGGAAGAGAAAGAAGAGCAAAGGATTAAATTTAAATCTCCTAAATTGAGCCAAGGACAGAATTATCCATGACGGAACTTGGCTAAGACGGACGATCCTCTCTGCTGCTGTCCTTTATAATCATCTTCCCTTTCTCCCTTCCATCAATAGTATTAAAAAAATTAGGGAGAAGGTCGGTTTTTCACCTGAGGATGAAAATATTTTTTGTTAGGTTCTCTAGAAGTGAATTGACACAATTTTTTGAATGGAACACACAGTTACATACTGACTGCACAGCAGAAGTACAGTGCACTGGCAACTGAGGCTGTCACTGCAGGTACTTGTGCTGCTGCCACACCACCTCATACTCTGTCTTCATGCCTATTTCCACCTTCAACTGCCACAACTGTGTCTGTTAGGAGTCATTTTTGTCCAAAAGAACACTTGTATGTTTTGTGATGTTTGATATGGAACTTTGTCTTTAGTTCTCCTACAACTATTTTTTCCCAGTGAAATGGCCAAACTACACAGAGTCAGATTAGCTGAATCATGTCTTTATCCCCCAAAGTTACATGTTTGCTTGTGAGGGGGGACATCAGCAAATAACAGTTTACATAAATATATTTTAACATAGAGTAAAATGATTGTATTTCAGTTTTATTTCTGGACAGTATTTATATACCAAGGGTGACTTACAACTTCAGTACAAAGATTACAAATAGTCTTTCACAGTTTGCTTTGATAAATTATGCTTTTTTAATCTCAAAGATACTCACCTACACCTCTGAAGCCAGAAATAATTTTAGGCATTCTAACAGAAAAGTCATCATCTGTTCAAACTATGCCTGAGAAAACTAAGGCAGAAGTACCAGCTGTAACATGAACATTTGCCTGCTGACTGAACGAATGGCTGAACAATTCCTCAACCATCCGTAGTTTGGCTCAGTCACACAAGGTTAAGTAGTCTTTCAGTTATTTCAGACTAATACCTAAATCAGTACTGGAGAACGGAGAAGCAAAAAAAGTTTCAAATGCCACGGGTCTACCAGTAAAAGGAGACCAGAGGTGCTCCCAGTTTCTGTAGCTTTTGCTTTCATTCCTTTATGAAACTGTTTCATTATAATTGGTCAGCAGAGCCAAGCAGAGAGTTAAGTGCAAAATGTCTGTTCCTTCCAGACTTGATGACAATGCAGATGCAGCCAAGGTCAGCACTCCTCTACTACATGGGGCTTCTGTATTCAACTATTTTGCAAAAATGAGATACTTCTATATCCCTTTGAATCCACACTGGCAGGCAGACAAGTATTTTTTGGCTAGTAAATGCTAGCAAGCATTTACTTTCTTCTTATAGGTATAGAACCAAAAAATACTTCTGCAGGAATTGCTCCCTCATGCTACAGATGGCAGAAACCTGAGCTGCTGAACTACAGCTCCCAGAAGCCCCACAGATGATTCTGACACCAGGACTTTTGAGGTGAGGTAGCTTTTCAAGAGCCATACTAACAATTCCAAATTTCTTACTAAAAAACACCAAAAAGACAGCAGACTACCTTTCCACGGGGCACCTTGTTTCAGTCAGAGTATTTTCACGGAAAGTTTCAGAATTGTGATTCAGTCTTTTGCAGGGGTGAGGTCTCCAGTCTTTCCTTAGGTTTCATCCTTTAACAAAGTATAATTACAGCTCACTGCACTTTTTCATTCTCACTTGTCATATGTAAATCCTACCTGGACTGAAAATCATCCAGCACTGAACTGGATTTTTCTTGTACAGATACTCTGAATATTCTTAAAAGAAGCAACTGGCCTTTATTCTTATTCAAAAGACAACATCTGCAGAATTGCTTTCCAATTTCATACTTAAAATTAAGACTCCAAAAAAGGTGCCATTTCCCAATTCAGTAACGTATTTCTTGCAGGTTTTAAGTATTTTCCCATATGTTTTTGGTGCTAAACTGCCATATACTTCAAATAGAAAACTGTTCTTCAGAACAATCCTACTGCAAATTTAATGACGGACAGCAGGATTTAACGCGGATTTTATGGGCAGGGACTACTGACCAAAACTATGCAAAAAGAACATACACATATACATTAACTGGGACAACAGTTATGACCTTAATGCTTTATGGTCTGGGAAGATCAGTGGAAAAATAATTAAAGCACATTTTTGAGATGGCACAGCAGTTCTAAAGCATAGGGCAGTGCCCCCTGTCTGCATGAGAACGTGTGAATTCATATATTCTCACAAGGAACGGGGTTACAATACTTCACGTATTTCTGCACAGCAAGTCCGTTTTCTTGAGGCAGCTTGAAGAAGCAAGAGGTTGTGTTCCTTCTATATAGCCAGTATCTGCATTCAAAATGTTCAAGATACAAAATAGGTGGATTCAAGAAGACAGAATGCCCATTTGCTTGTAACACATATTCTAGCAGTTTAGAGACCTCACCACCAGGTACTCAGGGCAAAACAATGCCACAACCATACTTGAAGGTAAAAGAAAACTATGCCAAAAATCTTACTCGTTATGAATTATTTTAATGAACCAAATATGAAGTGACATAAACACAGGTCAAGGAAAATAACACAATTTCTTGGGTGGTGTGTCTGAGTCACCCAAGGAAGATGAAACAAAACCAGCCCCACCAGCTGCTGACAGAAGGTAAAGATACAAGAATAATTAAGGACAATTTGAGGGAAAACAAGAAAGCATAGTGAGAGAGAGTAATTCTTGCCAAGAATGTCAACCAAACCATATAATAGTTAATATTTCATGTCAAATACTTAAATAAGGTCTCTGGTTTGTTTCTTAAAGCAGTGAGTCCACAAAACAATAGGGAATGGGCTATCCCTGAATTTGTGGCAACAGGTCCTATAGAGCATATTCCAGATTTCTCCAAATACTGGAGACAGAGGTGGCTAAAAAAAAGAAGTAGAGGAAGTGAGGACCCTTTGTTACCCAGCCTGGTCTCAGAAACGGAATGTGTTTTCTAGACCCCATAATCTTTGGCATAGGCTCCTTTATCAATGCTTGCGTGAGCGCTTTAATCCCATGACTGTGAAGGTTGCAGCAGTCAGTTTCTCATATACCAGAAACATAAGAGCAGCAGTAAGGACTGTCTGCAGGAGCTTTGCTTCAAGGCCTTTGTAGAGTCCCACTAATCCAAAACGCCTAAGGAGGAGAAAAAAAAAAACAAACAAGAAAACAAGTGTGAATAGCTTTCTATAAGTAAATCAGTACACTACAGCAAAGAATTAATATCACAAGTTAAAGACATCTCTAGGAATCTTAAACCCATTCTTGATCTCCAGTGCCAGCTACCTTTAATAATATTTTAAAGAGAAAATTCTGCAGAAACTTAAGGTCTTTTGTGCAAGAAACCTGCTTTTCAAGATGAGAAGTGGAATGAATTGGTATCCATATGTATCCTTGATGCCACTTACTTACAAATTACTTACAAATTAGGAGAATTTGGGTTTGTGGACTTATTCTGCAATATATTACAAAAACCAGACTGACTGAAAAGACAAGTTTAAGGGAGGCAAAAAGAAACAAAATTCAGATCCAGCAACATTTTCACTGTATTAGTAATGCTCAAGTCTTCTATGTCATGGTAGGAGAAAAAAAGAAAAGAGAAAGCTCACCTCACTCTCTGTTGAAGAAGGTAAAGAACATTTCTAAGACTGCCCAGTGTCCGGTTCTCTGGGTTCAACCTGTGGCGTCCAAACTGAAAAAAAGGAAGAGCATTTTCTTGTACTATTTCCTCACAGTGCCTGGCAGAGAATGCCACACATACATGACATCTGGAGAGCCTATCTTAAACCCCCTTAAACATTTTCCATGTTATATGGCCATCAGCAGGGAAACGAGGCCAAAGCTCACAAAGCAAGCATTGAAACTCTATAGGCTACAATAATTTGTTTTGGTTTTAAGATGGATTCTAACAAAGTGTTACACATGGTCGTATTTCCTCTCTTTTGGTTGCTGTGGAAGAAAGAGTTTTCAAGATTTCAAAAGCATAACTTGCAGGGTCTTAGTAGGGATATGACATTCAAAGCAAGTTCTTTCTGGCTTGCTCAGCTTTCACTTGACAAAGGTTCAAACACTCACACATCTGCAAACCATTACTACATTGAGACTGCACAGCTGAACACAAAACTTATCTGCCCAGCAATGGTCTTGAAGGAAAGCACTTATGTGTGAACTGCTGTGGAAGAATCCAAAATTGTTTGATACACCTACCTGGCCTAAACAATATTTCTCTTTTACTCCCTGCACTTGCCTATCCCCAAACTGGTTTTTAGCACGCACAATAGCTGCTGCTGTAGTTTTGTGTCTCAGAGTTAAACTAGCAATTTCAGCAACTCCTTTTCTAGCGTTCATCGATACTCTTATCTGATCCAGGTCGATAGTACTGTCAGCAAGCTGTAACTATGAATTATTAATATACAAGAGTGGCATACCTGTATTTATAACAGCACAGCCTAATAGATTTTGAAGCCTGTATAAAGCATCTGTTGCTAAGAAAGGTGAACTTGAGCAACTGCGAGTGGATGAATTCTTCCCAGAACTTGCTGAAACAACTGCTGCATCTCAGGTATAAGAAATTACCATTGACAGTAGGTAAAGTATGCAAGCTGATTTAGGCAGTTCAGAAAATTTAAGAAAATGCCAGGATGATACTGTGTGTCTTAACAACTCCGATGGAAACAGCAACAAGAGAATGCTAGTGGAACCCTCTATTAGGAGAAATATGTGCTCAAAATCCACAATCTTCTCACCAGCAACTAAGTAATTTGATATTGATTAATCACTGTTAAGAATTACTGTCAAAGACTCAGACACACCCCCAAAAAACTGCTAACTACGTTCCAAGTTACAGTGTCAGTCACTGTCCCGATTACTCATAGGCTTCCAAACTACACCAGGATTAGGTGCTTCATTCTCCTCTTTTCTCCACCACTGGATAATTTTTGTACTGCAAACAAAGATTCATCAAGAGAGAAAAAAACCACATTAATTTCTCACTAGGATGTTAACAGTTCAGTGGTTATTACTGGAGAAGACTTCCTAAAGGCACTAGCATTCTCTAGGACAGAGAAAAGAGACTTTAAAGATAATTTCTTCAATTGGGATCACTAAGAACATTAAGTGTTGCTGTATCTCCAGAGGCAATTTTAATTTATCTGAGCTTTACTGACACATAGGCTAAAGAATAGTTTCATAGCATAATGAGTAAAACCAGTGTCATGTATGTCATGTGTCATCCTGAAAAGGAGATAGACATACCAAATAGCACGGCTGGAAGCTGCTACTACTGTCAATTACACAGGATAACTGTTCATCTTATCAAGAAGAGTGCTGTGCCAAAGAGTTGAAAGCAAAGGTGCAGAACCTTCATTACAAAGAACCCTAATCACTTTCAAACAAAAGTAGGTTTCTAAAGGTTAAAGGCTAAAAAGAAAAAAAGAAAGAGTCCTATACTTCTACTTTGATAACAGAATTTAGTTACAATCTGTAAGTTTTTATGAATTACATTCAGCTTGTATTAGCTTATGTGCAAATCTGCTAAAATTGTTTCAAAAAACTGCCTACAACCATATAAAGCATACTTCATGCAGAATGCTATTTCTGAAAACACTAAACCTTTATTCATAGCCTTTTTCTTTAGCATCACTTAGTGTGAGTATCAAAAACTTTAAACAGAATAATGCTAGCTTTAGATTAGAAAATGCATCATGAAGCAGAGCAAATCTGAACTGGACAGCACAGGTACAACAGATGCATATTTCTTCTGTTTTCAGCAGAAGTGTTCAGGGCTCCTGGCTATTCTTTCACAGAGCAAAGGGACCGAAGTGACGCCTAGTGACTGCAGAACTAGAGAGAGGGTGCTTGTGTTCCTCACCATCACAGGAAGAGGACGGCCCTGCAAGGAGAAGTATCATACAGGCCACTTCATTTCACAGTGGGCCAGTGTGAGAAAAATGCCCCCTCCCACCAGGACACGGATGGCGAGCTGTGCTCCCGCAGAAAGGCAACTCGTCACTGCTCGGGAAGCCAGCGGTGACCTGGCTCACTGCAGCTGAGGTGAGCAGGAAGCTGCAGCTGGGCAGCACACCAAGCTGGCAGCACAGCTTACCAGAGCTGTCATTCTTTTTTAAAGAATGACACTGTCAGCATGAGACAGAAGAATTTTATTCAAAAAGCTAAAAGGAGACAGATGAAACATGAAGCCACAAGGCTGTAGCCACTTCTGTAGCAACCATGGAAAGGAACAAGGGCTGAAGCTCTTATAGGGATGTAGCCCCATGAAACCTGCACTGCTGTGCAATGCTCAGGCTAAAGCAGAGCACTCCAACTTTCCTTCCAGTTCTCCTTCACACCAGCAGAAAACACGTCACAAATTAAAAACAGACTGATGTTGCACCTTATCCAAACAGAGCTGTATTTGCTTAAATATTTTTCTGTGTCTGTCACTCCAATAATAGAAGCCGTGTTATTAGTTTAGCTCCTGAGAAGGCTGTTAAAACAGTACAAGATGTTGAGTGAAAGCACTAGCTCAGCTGATCAAAAATTATGAAAATTTCAGGAAAGATGGCTCCTGACAAAATTACACAGTAAACATATTCAAGTCCCATGGCTTTGAAATACAGCATCCAAAGTATCTTTTTATAGGCTATGAAAAATCAAAATACATTTATTCCACTTTAACTAGAGAGAAGAATAACTCAAATAATTAAAAAATTGCTTGAAAATTACTTCTTCCAGATGTACAATTAACAAGAAAATTCCCATATTAGAGAAGTCTGAAAAGTGATACCCTTAGCATGGAAGGATAATTTTCAATAATTCAACTAATTCTCAAAGTTTATACAACTTTTAGAACATAATGGCTTTACCATACATTCAAGTTAAGGCTTCTCCTTACTTAGGAAAATAGCATCATATCTCACGTGGAAATGTTTATTAATATTTCACTGTTATAAAAACAGATTTAAAAGCACAGAAATTAAAGTACAATATGCTTATGCATGGCCAGGTCTCCTCCTTCCTCCCCCCCCCCAAGCAAGTTTTGTCTTGTATCAATATTTCAACCATATTGGTACATCCTGAAAGCAGCAGCATTATCCAGCATAGATACGAACCGAAAGTAAGAACAAGTGCAAGTGTTACCATTACCACTACAATTAGCCTACACAGCCAGGCAAGTGGTTGAAGATGTTTATGAGGGAGCTCAGCTTCCCCGGATGAATCACATTCTGGATACTGATACGGTCAGGCCTGCATCGTGCAAAAATACCTCCCAAAATGATAGGTCCATTAATTCAAATAAAAACTAGCCATATGAATAAGGCTTGCAGGACGTAGAACAAGTCAGAGGCAGAGTTACCCTGAAAGAAAATTACTACTTACCCTCAGAATTGACTGTACTGTCTGCAGAGGGTAAGTGAGGGTCGTGGCAACTGCTTTGGCTATTGCACCAATGACAAAAGCATCCAAAGATGTGAGCTGTTCAATAGATAAAGAACATATTTACTTCCAGATTGTACGAAAACAGCCAGTTACCCATATATGTTTGGGGATTCTGTAGTGGTACCTGCTACCACTACAGAATTTTGTATTTCCAAAGAGAGGAAATACAAAGATTTAAGGATCTTTGGTATGAAGATTTCATGAAGTCTCTGGATCTTCTCAATTTAAAGAATTAATTATAGTTCAATCAACTTACTTTCCCACAACTTGTGTTTATTTTGTTACTTTTACCTGATGCTGCATTTCTCATTATAACTAGGTTACTAAAACACAGTTGATACAAGGCCATACAAACTAGACCAATTTAAATCAGCAAGAGTAGACAAAAGATAAGGAAGTATCATGTAAACATACCATCAATCAATAAGCATTTCAGGTTTTGCAACTCAAACTAACAAGTCACGTGGTGCTTGTGAAAAGGTGACAGCGAAAGATTCCTTGAACATCACCCTGTAATCCTGAGGCATAATCACTATGCTCTCGGGCAGAATTTTAGTTGCCTTGATGACACAGGCTAAAAAAAATCTCATCCCCTAATAGTTAAGAACACCTGCTGGAAGCCCATCCTCACTGCCAAAGTCCACAGTGTTCCAGGATGCACCAAATATATTGTTATAACATATACTGATTACACAGTGCATCTCAGTCTAACAGTGTGAATTAATCAAGGAAAATAAGTAGATGCCTATATCAAAATGTGCTTAAAATTTCCAAAATATATTGATTGCAATCACAAATATGCTTACACATGCACATCTTAAAAGGACCAATCTGATATATTTAAGATACTCAGGAAAAGACCAAGCAGGAAGAAATATATTGTCAAAAAAAATAAATTATCATCGCTAGGTAAAAAAAAAAGTATTTTCCCTCTCCACTGATCATGGATAAAGAAATGCCCTAATTTAAGGTGGAACTAAGTAATTTAAAAGAAACACAAGAAATAAATATATAAATAAATATGTCATTAGCCAAGAGGCTAACAGCAATGCAGAGGGAAGCTCAGCTCATCACACAAAAAATGTACCATCCATAACCTAACTGGGTAAATCCATCAGGTACAAAGGGAGTGCTACAGCTGCAGTAAGAACTAAAGACAGCAAAAATCTGAAGCCTCACTGATGATGCAAAATCTCGTGTAAAAATAATCTCTCTATGTCTTGAGGAAAAACAAGATGGCTTTGTAACATACTGATACGATCTAACATTTTAAATCAGACAAATGCATCCTAAAATCATAAATTAACAGCAAAGAGCCATAGCTTAAACACATATTATGACATTATCTGAAAATGTAATGCAAATGCTTTTCAGTTTGCCAGAACATAAAAAGAACATGACTTCAGCTGAGATTCTACATCTGATATAGTGAGAAACAACAGAATAAGGAAACAGAAGGGGACTATAAACCAGGGACAGAAAAGTGATTGTGCCTCTATTTTAGAGAATCAGGAAGGTATGGCTGCAATATGGTTCAATTCTAGTGTCCGTCCTTGGAAAATTACACTGAAAAATTGAGGGCTTCAAGAAAAAAAAGTTATTAAAATGACAGGACCCAGAAAAAATCTGTGATACTTTGAAGGCTTAATATATTTGACTTACTGGAAAAAGGGTTAAAAGCAGACTTTGAAACAGTCTGTATGTAAACACTTATAAAAGATATCTTAGAATTGAAATCTCTAATTTAAATGAAGACTTGTGAACAAATGTAAACAAATGTGGACAAGAGGTGCAGTTTTATTTTTACAGGTAGAGGAATTCCTCACAGGAACATCTTTCCTAGGGACGTGAAAGACTGACATCTCATTTCATGATGTCAGATCCTTTTTAGATATACACTAACTCAAAAAATCCCTCAAAAAATAAGAACTAATATCAAACCTGCATTTCTGAATTTGTTCAAGCAGTGCATATCAAAGAACCCGTCTTATAACAGAGCATGATCACCATCTGGCCTCAAAACATACTCACTTGCAGCTGCTTTTTCAAAAGCTTTCGTTTAAAGCCTTCATAAAACATGAACTGTATGGCAGGATTGAAGACCAGAAGCAAGGAGGGGAAAGTACCATTCCACAAAGCTAAGACTCCTTCATCTCGTATTATCTGATGAAAGGCATCTGAGACAAAAGGTGTGGGGGAAAAAACATTAAAATTTTGAGTACAAAACAGTTACCATAAAAGGTAAGAGGAGTTATACTTAAAGCCTAATACTCAAAGTGTATAAAAATTCACTGCAGACTTTTATGCAACTATTTTTATCTTCCATTTTAATCTGGAAGTTAACAGAAAGGTATTGACAAAGGAGGTTCTTGCTCACATCACCACCAACATAAACAAAGCTTATCATCTGCAGAGACATCCTACTCCTTTTAGTACAAGCATGGCATCAACATTAAGGTCTTCTAAGCCTTCTTCAAAATTACAATAATATTTATTTGGTTGATTGGTTTGTTTTAAAAGTAAGGCAGCCTGAACATGTGGATGATTAAGAGATTAAGGTGAGTGAAGTTTAATTTGCAGACTGTCTGCCCAAACTCAGATTCCCATCTACCACCTCACTAGGCTCACTACTGCTCCAGTACCTGGATGATAACATAACTGCCTCTGTAAAAGGTATTTTAGTCACAGGGGTGCATACTGCAAACTCTTAATTACCCTCAGAAATAGCAAAGTTTGGTTTCCTGTAAAATTCAATGACTGCGAAGTGATGGAAGAACAGATATTACAGGGTGAAATCAGGTATATGAACAAAAGTTTTCAAAGTCCTTGATATATTTAATTTCATGAACTTTTCTTTGGTTGAAGACAGCAACAAGTGCTTACCTATTATGCCTCTATAATTGGTTGGTACAATGTCTTCATTTCTGAATTTTGCTCCCTGCAGCTTCAGACGTGTGTTCACTACCCAAAGAGGAGTGGTCAAGAGTACATTCACTACACCTAATGCAAAACACAGCACAAAGAAAAATCAGCAAAAACCAGAAGATATAAAAATTTAAAATTTTCTTCTCCCCTTTTCCCCCTAGTTCACATGCTACTGAAATTTCTGGAAGGAAGAAGGAAAAAAATTGACACAGCATGTAGGAAAAGTAAATGACAATTTTAATGAGCTACTTCAGGTATTCCCCCACAGCCCCACCACGAATTAGTTGTCAGCAGCAGGAAGATATTTCTGCTACTCCTCCCTAAAACTAAAAACTGAAACAAATAATAAAATTTAAAGAAACCTGCCCCAAACAACAAAACACACCAAATATCAACATGTTGAAGGAATCTTAAGTGAACTTGTTGCTTTGCTGCATCCTACAGTACAATGGAGCACAAGATACTCTGCTTTTTCATGTCCCACTTAACTCCAGGATGGCTTGCTGCCTGCCTACTTTCAGAAAGAAATGCTGAGCATCAAGGTTAGATATCTCTCTTTTATAAAGAGAAATAAAGGCAGATCAAATGCTGACAAAAGAATTACAGTGTCTACCTTCTAGACTCACTAAGTACACTTAAGGTTGAATACACAGGATTCTGCAAATATTTTAAGTAAGGCTTAGAAGTGGCAAGAGATTGCACACAAAAACCCCAACAGTAAATCTTGAAAGTTGAGTAACAGAAATTAGGATGGGGGAAGAGAAAGATACAAGCATACATATGGCTGCAACAATTCTGTATTGCAAAATACAGCTCTAAACTCACAGGGAGGAGGATTAAGTGGCATTACTTTTGCAGTCAACTGGTACAGGCAGCTACTTTGAAGTAACTATGAAAAAACAAGCTTCTCATCTTTCTTATTAATATTTCTGCATCTCAGAAATTAGCAATTACTTCTACACTGATTGCTTCGGTAGAAATCTGAGTGAGAGACTGAATTATTCCACTGTATTGAGATGGACACACTACATCTCTATCAAGAACAGTAAATCTGAAAAAACTGAAAATTTAATACCTACATTGTGCCTGTTTGTTCTTTTTCTTTTCCTTTAAGAGAGTTGAGAAAAGTGAAATATAAATGTAAGAATATTTCTATATCCTTCATAAAGACTACAGTCAGCTTGCAAAAGAAGCCAAAAAACCCACATCAAAAACCCAAGACGTTTTTTGCAGGTTTGTTTTTTTTAATATCTGTTTGTTTCTGTGTGGTTTCATGAGCAATTGTTCCTGAAGAATATTACCAGCAAACACAGGCACACAGTGGTAATTTTTCACACTGGATTTGCTAGAAAAGTCATTGATTTTATCATCCCTCCAAAGAAGCCACTGTACCATCCACACAGGAGGATGGAATGAGAAAAGAGCATATGGTCCCACTGGACCTGCATGTATCTAGGGACTTCCTGTCACTTTTAGGTGACAACCCAAAAACAAGTCTGAAAACTGACACCCAAATGCTTACAATAAAATTCCTTCCCTAACTGAAAATATTTCAGAGTTGCATAACTCTTTTTCTCTAAAAAAAAAAAAAAAAAAAATTATTCTCTCTCCCTGCCACTTATCTTCAACATCTAAGTGATGATGCTTGGATATGTGGCAAACACCACAGCAGACACAAATCCTACACCAGACCACAACAGCATTGTGCTTTGTGCCAGAATTCACAACAGGAACGGTTTATGCATCTTCTTACAAGGTAGGAAGGACATAAAGGAGCTATCAGAAAGAAGCAAGTCTGCATACAGTGGGAGGTCTGAGCACTCAGTGTGACCTCCAGAAGATTATGTCATAAAGAAAAACATTACATAGAATATACCAAAAAATACATTCTTGACAAAACAGAGATTTTTAAGTATTACCTGCAACAACCCCAAGAACCAAGTCTTTTCCAGTGGTTGAATGCTGACCTTTGACCCAGAGGGCTTTAAGACTATTAAATGTATAAAAATAAACAAAATTGGAGCAGCAAAGGCTGGAGATAACAGGGAACCATCCTCGATATGGTGCCAACCTAATGGAAAACAAAAAGACATAGTAAGGATCAGCAAAGTATTTATGTGATCTGGTTGATTTTTCATGTTGTTGGAGGATCCCAAAGACACAACACTGTATACTACATAAGGTACCAAACAGATGCATCTTTATTATCAGTGCTGACAAATCATACTAAATTCCAGAATAAGGAAAAAAGCTGTCCAGATTCTCACATAAAATTTTAAAATGGAAGACTACTTACTGAAATTAATATACTTCACCAAGAAGAGTTTTGCAAAGGATACTACCTGGGGCCCAAGATATGCAGCTGGAGGAATTTCTAACAAATGCCTGGCAGTAAATTCTGGAGCAAATTAGTCAAGTCAGTGAGAAAAAGACATTACTAGTTAACTTGAACTATATTAATCACAGATGAAAAACCGAATATCATCTAAATCTGTCTTGATTTCATAACAGGTGACTAACAAAGCTCCCTTCTCTGACAGGCCTGATGAGCCTGTAAAACAGGGATACCTCAAGAGCTGCCCTACATTCCCAGCATGTTCTACAACACATCCAAAAAAAGATAATAATACACACCTTCACTGGAGTTGCACAGAACAGGTAGAGAACTGGTATCATGTTAAAAGCATAATAAATCTCCTCCACATCAGTAATTATGGAGGCTCTTTAGTATTCATTAAAATATTGGGAATACATAGAATATAAGGATCTCCAAGGAGACTGTAAAAGATGCAAGGCTGGTAAACACACACACAAAAAAAATCTGACTGCTTTTAGAATGTAAATGCTAGTTTTTTGTCTCAAATCCATCAAATGCTTTTCCCTCCCATGTAACTGGGAATACACCACATTATTAAGACTGCTTCTGAAGTTACAGCCTTAGCTAAACATACAATTACAAATTAAATGACTATACAGTTATTCATAAGTCAAATTAAAACAATTTTTATATTACCTATCTCTTCTGTGCTGGAAAAGAGAAACATGCTGTGGGGACCATGTCCTCTATTTGAGAGTGTTAGTTTGGTTTTTCTTGATTTATTAAGAACAATTTCTGATGATTTTCAAGTGAAACATCTTGCAGTACAAAACATGAAACTAAAACAAAACCCATGAGTTTATTTAAATGACTTCAGTTGTCAGTGGTAGCATCCATAATTCACACACAAATACTTCTGCACACAAAAAACACTAATTTTGTGTTCCAAACTGTGACTCTGAGAAAAACTCAATGTACACTAACAAACACCTTTCAGATCACCTGGAAAAAGGTGGAAGTGCAAGTAAGAAAGCAAAGCTGTTTGATAAACTTCTGCAGAAAGTCCATTAGGTAAACCTATTCGCTTTATCCAGATGAGAAAAGCAGTCTCATAAAAGTATATTATGAGACAAGACTCTAAAGCTAATGTGAACAATACATTTATGATCTCACATCACATTTCAGTTTTGCTGTTGTTTGGTGGTTTTTTTGTTACTTCAAACACATCTCTAAAATTAGTACCATTGTTCAGCCAGGCCTTCCCAATACCTCTGGAAGAAGCAATGTTCCTCTCTTGCCAGTTACTGATTTTTCATTTTCACAGGAAAAGTAGGATGACCACTTTTGCAGTCTCTCCACACCAGTTAACTTCATTAATTTTTCAACTCTTTTCCTTTTACCTTTTTTTTTTTTTTAATTGAAGTTTACTTGCCACCCTCACATGACAAAAGCAACACAGGAATGTGAACAAGAGAGATCTGAACTGGCAGAGAACTCCTCATGCGTACAACTGCCAACTGCCCAAGTTCAAAGGTGGCAGAACGTTATGGGCCAAGTTAAACTTTTGTCAACCTGAATGTCCTAGAAGCTCTGGTCTACTTAGGAGTTCCAGGGATTCACTTAGGAAAATACTTCTAACAAGGACAGGCATACAACTGTTTTTCCCAGCCAGTTCAGCTCAGACTGTGGCAAATACAAAAGTGCAGCACAGCTGAAAGTTAACTGCTTTTTGATAGATCTTGAATCTCACCAGCACAGAGTCATGTGTTGTTTACTTCTACGCACTCTGAAGCAGGAAAAAACCTTCCAACTGGGAAACATGTCTCAATTCTCCTTTTGAAAGTGGCTCAGCTGCCCAGGAGTTTCATCTTGATTATGAGAAATTGACACACCCAAGAATCCAGGCAGACAGAGCTGGTTGATCAGGTAGGTGAAGGTACATTTGCATTTCTGAGGAGGCACAGCTACCTCTCTAATGAAGGCACAGTTACATCACTGAACAGATCAATTGCATAAGGTGCTCAAGAAAGTTAATCCTAATTAGCTAAAGATGAACACATAAGATTATGCAAGTCATATCACACTTACATGGAGACATTTCGATTCAGAACAAAAATCCGTCCACATAGATACGAGTTAACTATCACACTTTAAAAGCAAATTCAAATTAGTTTTAGAGCTTGTCTACATGAAGATAAGCAGAAAATTAGTATCTACTCACAGGCCTTCTTCTTTGATTATTTCCAAAAGGACTGCCGGTGTTGTCTTAGATTTCCGCTTCTCATCAACTGGAAAACAGAAGAATCAGACTTTCAGATTATTCCAATTTTTAGCACTATTTTTCAAGGCCTTATCCTTGCTATTCTGAATATACACCAGAAGCACTTGTTTATTCTTCCTCATACAGGATAGATGCTCCCTATTTCTGCAGCAATTGCATAAAACATCTCCTTATTTTCATTTGCTAGGTAAGGCTGCTTCCTTTTTTAATTTTTCCCCAAACCAGCAGGTTCTGCTGTGCCCCAGGGTATCTGTAGTTACCAGTTCCTGATAGTTGTGACATGAACTGAAGGTAGGCTCCCCCTTAGATAGGGGACTAGAATCAGGCCTGCCTAACTGCTCTGAAAATTGTTCCTTGGACACCAGACTAGCACCAGTAGCAGAGCAGGTATTTGCAATCCTGCAAACAGGTATTTGGCAGCAGCCAAGTCTTAGCAAAGCACCGTCTCTTCCTGCATTGAGAGCTGTCCAACAGCAATACGGTGCTCGTTTCTCAGCCACATACTTCTGACAACCAGGCTGATGATCTTCCTTGAGTTCTTTATAGAGCTTTAGTCACAGTGCTAAAATGCTTCGTGATTCTGTGACTTTTGACTTGAAAACAGAGAGTCAGAACAACAAAGTTTATACTCAGATGCATTTTTGTAAATATCGGATATTCCTAATCCCAGTTCTAATCCTGACTTTTTCCTTTAAACCATTCTCAGTAATAATTCTAGACTAGTTTCTCATGATAGTGCCCCTGAATTTTCAAGTGTTCTCAGCAGCCAAAAGCAACAACACACAAATATAACCCTGTGCAATCTCACATCTTTGCTTTTTATTTTCGTCTTAGATAACCATTTAAAACCCATGTCTGGCCACAGATCACACAGCCTTTTCAGCTAATTAAAAGGTTGCCCAACACTTTCAAAAGGAAGAATTATCTTCAGCTGGAAACACTGTGTTAGTGTTAGACAGGTAAGATTCCTGTTCACATTCAACATCCCCCTACAACCACCCTTACAAGTGCCCAAGTCAAGATGAACAGAAACGTCATTGTACAAAGAAACTCGAGTTTGACACTTACCCTGAAGTCTAAGCCTAGCTGTATCCAAAGGAAAAAATACAGTCATTGCAGTCACACTGCCCTGAAAAACAAAATAAACTGGCTATATGGTGTATCAGTTGCTTGTACAGTGCCTGCTAGACTCTTTGTAGCCCTTCACTTCTCACCCAGAAACCAGTCTGCTGAGCAAGTTTAGAAAGGGGATAAACTCCATATAGAACAACATCTACATGAAATGGGTTTTGGTCCCATACTTACAAATCAGGGGTTTTTTCTCTTGCATTAGATCAAGCTATAATTAAAACCATTAAAAGCTTTTTGCCCAAGGAGAAAGTTTTTGAAGTCCAAGAGTTGATAAAGTGAGCATCAGGAGACAAATACACTGCCTTTCTCTACCTCCCATTAGTCTCAATATGCAAATTTTAGTTTAAAAAAGCAAAACAAAAGACTGACACAAACAGCATTGTGTTACAATAACCTTGTTTTGACATAAGAAAACAATGACCAAACTGAAATTTCTGTTCATTAAAAAACTGATAGCATATGTTTTTCAGGACTTAATCTAGTTTTGCACTAAATTCCAGTTTGGGCAATAAAGATCAGCTACCAAGACACCCTCAGTGGCATGAATTACATATGATGAATTTAATAAATCGCGACCTAGATGTCACCAAATTCATGTCTTGTGAATCCAATGCCCTCTTCACTTCCTGTGTGATCCAACCATTAAAGCCTCTAAATGGAGAAGCTTTCAGATACCATCCTTTACAAAAGGTTAAATACTGTATTTGCAAGTACCCCATCTTCCATACAAGCAGCTGTTCCCTTTCTCTCCCTGCCATCACTCACCTTCTTCATTTTTCAATACTCAAGCAATAATATTGCACAGCTTTTGGAAAAGAGATCCAAGAAAAAAAAAAAAAAGGCCCTGGCTTGATGCAAACCTGTTTTCCATGCATCAAGTGACTGCTAAAGCTGTGGCACTCTTCCATTAGCAGCCATGTAAACTGTTTAAATGGTGGGAAGGTCTGGGATACAGCAAGTCACACAAGTGCTGTGTTTAAAGCACAGTGCACAGTGTGACTTGAGTTCTTCTAGAGCTGAGTTACGCTACACGTGTAAGTGAGCTTTGCCTCTGGAAACACTCCAGCTCCTGAGCAGGCTGCTTGGATTTATCTCTACAACCAGCAACAGAGGATTACTTCTCAGGTGGCTTTTCCTCACTAAGGCAACTCTTGGTTGAAGTCTTAACCAGATTTAGGTTTCTCCAGTTTTCATAACAGCAGGCAGCAGATGAAGGGAAACACTTGGCCACAGTTACCTGGTTATTTTAACCCATTCAGTTTGGGCTCTTGCCAAAACGGTTGGTTCTGCTCTGCCAGGTACTTGTCTTGTGTCTGCACATTCTCGACACCTACCATGTACCCAGCTGGACAGCAAGTAGGATTAAAGAACCCACCTGACTAAAAATTTGTAAAATATATGTTTCAGTTAGGTTAGTTCCAGCACAAAAAAGTGCCAGAAAGAGCCAAAATACACCTCCTAATGATGGTTGCATTACTGCAATTTTGAAGCCAACCTCAAAACGCAATTACACACACCTACACACAGAACAAGACTGCACAGTCACTACAACTTCCAGCCTTCCCCTGCTCAATTTATCCTGCTTCCATCCTCCCAAAGCGAGATCCATCCTGAATCTTACTCTCAACGCAATCCACCATACTGCAGCAACACACACACACACTTGCACTCAAAATTAGAAAATGGAAATGGGGAAATAGCTGGGCTAGTGTCACACAGGACAAACAGGTGGATGCAAGGCGCAGAAGAGAGTATACCAGTGGGAAGAGATCTACAATGATCATCTAGTCCAGCTTCCTGACCACTTCAGGGCTGACCAAAAGCTAAAGCACACTGTTTAAGTACATTTTCCAAATACCACTTAAACACTGACAGGCTTGGGGCATCAACCACATCTCTAGGAAACCTGTTCCAGTGTTTGGCTGTCAAACTGGCTTAAAACCTGTATGAAGCTGTAGTTCGAGAGAATGTCATGAGATAACTAAGCTGACCTAACAGAACACTGCAAATAAAAGACAATTTATACCCTCTCCCCTCCTTTTGCTAAATTGAGGGAAATAAACTCAGAAAAGCCAAGCTACATTTCTCCTGGGTTTACAAATGGAACAAGGCAACTAAATGACAAGAAGGCTGTCAGAAGCATCACATGAAGAAGACAGGGTTTCACAGCTAGAAGGAAGAAAAAGGAGAGGGATGAGCAGGATCAGTCCTTTCCCCAGCAACAAAAGGCCTCAAGATGGGCTCAAGATTCCTTGCTGAATCACACTTGAGACCAGCAGGGGAAGAAAGTCATAGTACTGATTGCAGGAACAGATGCTGACATGTATGACCCTGCAGTGTTGGAAGGATGAGGCTTTGCTGTCAGCCTTCCCACCACCTCCCTGTCAGCCTTGAATCTCAGTAGTTTGTCAAGTCAAGTCATTTTACCACTGACTAATCACTAGGACAGGTACAGACTGGTTTATGCAATCCCAGGCTCTTGGTCAACTGTATTTGCACCCCTGCCTCCTCCAGTCTGGCAGCATAACTTTTCAGACACCTACACGATGGTGCAGACAAAGAAACTAATCTGTCTGAAAAACAACTTTTTCCGCTGGGCTGCTACTTCAGTCAGATCAGTTCAGTGATCAGTCACAGCACCAGACAAACAACTGTGCAGTAGCCAAGAGGTGCCCAGAACAAACGGCCTGAGGTGACTGATGCCAAGAAGAGCTGTACAGGACCAATGCCTGAAATCTGGCTTTCCAAAAAATAGTAATAACAAAAATTCAAAACATATAAAAAGACTAAATACTATGTTTCAGACAACACTGAGAGTCAAACATAGCAGCCTGACTACTGCTGTAAGCTCCTATAAAATTCTCATCTCTACAGCTTTTGCAACAAGGTTACATTTTAGCAGAGTTAAGAGTTAAAGAATAGTTACATAATTCAATTAAAGTTCACAGGAAATCAAGCACTAGTTTGGGGCTTTTTAATGCTCACAAAACTATTCCTTTGTCTCGAGTTCAACTAGGTATGCAAACTTTCAGTATATTAGAAGATAAACAAAATTTATCATGCTGTGATCTGACATGTGCTTCTGACTCAGTACCTCGACACAGCTCTGTGTTTATGGCTGGATTTATGACTTTGGTTCACACCACCGACTTTGTTCAGGGGTGCAGCCTGATTATGCCAATGTCTTTTCGAGGGTGAGAAGCTAAGAGCGAGGGCTAAAGGGTATTACTGACTTCTGTAGAAGCCAGCAAAAGGAGAATGAGATCATTGGAGAGTGTTCCATTTTTTGAAAGCAGAAACAAAATCCCCATTGCCTTTGATGCTTAAACAAGCTGACTCAAAACAATTGAAAGAGCAGACAAAAATCTTGTGTTTATTTTTAATAAAAGCAAAACATCCTTTAGTGTTGTTTTTTTTCCTTTTAGAATCAGCCTGTATCACAGAATCACTAGGATTCGAAGGGACCTCTGGAAATCATCTAGACCAACACCCCTGCCAAGTCAGTCACCTAGAGCAGGTTATGCATCCAGGTGGGGTTTCAATGTCTCCAGAGAGGGAGACTCCATCACCCCCTATTTAAAAGTGCCATGGAAAAAAAAATGTAATTCAATAACTGACACAAAACCTCCTCGGGCTGCACTGCACTCGCCTTACATTTTGATTAACATCTATGCACTGCCTCACCCTTCGCAACTCCTAGGCGTTTGTGAGGCCGTGGCAGGACGACGATGCCCGGTGCAGCTCTCGGACGGCACAGCTGAGGTGCTGCCCCTCTGCCTGAGCTCCTGGGAGGCTCCAATCCTCACCGCTGCAGTGATGCCCAGCTCCCGACGCGCCTCGCCGGCTTTCTGAGGGGCACCCCTGCAGCTCCTGCCGGGCTCAGCGGAGGTTCCGGCTGCTCGGGCCCAGCGCCGGCCCCGAGCTGCCCGAACCCCGCGCCCGCCTCCCCGTCCCGCCGCAGCCCAACAAAGGCTGAGGACGGCCCGCGCCCCCCGCCAGGCCGGCACGGCCCCCTCCCCGCCCGGCTCGCTCACCACGGCCCCGGACACGGCGTGCACCAGGCTCTCGTAGGAGGCGACGGACGACATGGCGGCGGCTCTCGGGGGCTGCTCCGCCGGCCGGCCCTGCGGCCCCGCGGCCCCGGCCAGGTCTCGGCTGCCGCCCGCCGCCCCCGCGCCCGCCATGGCGCCCGCCCCCGTCACGTGCCGCCGCTGGCCACGCCCCCCCGGGGCCCGCGATGGGCGGGCAGGGGAGGCGGAGGGGCCGCTCGGGGTGATCTCCGTGGCTTTTAAGAAAAATACAGGATTAGAGGATCCGGGAAATGCATTGTTGTTCCCTCCTCTGAAACTACAATAAGGCCTTTTCCCTCCAGCGCCAGCTTCGCTTTGAGAAGAGGCGGCTGGGAGGGGACCTCATCAATGCCCATCAGTATCTGAAGGGAGGGTGCCAGGAGGATGGATCCAGGTTCTTCTCGGTGGTATCCAGCCATAGGACAAGAGGCAACGGGAAGAAATTCATGTACAGAAAGATCCACCTGAACACGAGGAAGAACTTCTTTACTGTGAAGGTGACCACGCACTGGAACAAGTTGTCCAGAAAGGTTGTAGAGTCCTCACTGAAGATATTCAAGAACTGTCTGGACACAATCCTGTGCAGTGTGCTCTAGGACGGCCCTGCAGGAGTAGGGAGGTTGTAAAAATGACCCACTGTGGTCCCTTCCAACCCTACCCATTCTGTGATTCCCCTTCCCAAACATTTAACATAAGCATTTAATTACAAAGAGGAAGCAATATTTAACTTTGCATTCTGATTATGCATTTTTTCTAACTACAGCCCCTTCTACTTACATAGAGCCCAGTATCTTTAAAGTAACACTTTTTCAAGATAATAATTTCTTATTCCATGTGGACCAGTCGAGCCTGATGCATTTTCAAACAGGGGTTGTTTAGCCTGGAGAAAAGGAGGCTCCAGGGGGACCTCATCACTCTCTGCAACTACCTGAAAGAAAACTGAAGCAAGGTGGGGGTTGGTCTCTTCTCCCAAGTAACAAGTTACAGGAAAAGAGTAAACAGCCTCAAGTTGCACAAAGGGAGGTTTATGTTGGATATTAGGAAAATTTTTTTCACTGGAAGGGTTGCCCAGCATTGGAATAGGCTGTCCAGGGAAGTGGTTGAGTCACTGTCCCTGGAGGTATTTAAAAGACATGCAGACTTGACACTTGGGGACATGGTTTAGTAGTGGATGTGGCAGTGCTGGGTTTGCTGTTGGACTCAATCTTAGAGTCTTTTCCAAATTAAACAATTCTATGATTCTATTTTGTTTACTCCTTTTCCCTGTCTATAAGACCTCACTCCTCCTCCACTATCATGCCAAGACACTGCTCAGGGCGTGCAGCCAAAGCACACCACTACAAACAGGCACCTCCTGGCTTGTCACACCCTTTGGTGGCTGAGGATGGAATGAGAAGTCCTACCAAAACAGCACCAGACACAAGTAGCAAAGCCAAAGGACAAGGGAGCCACGGCTCACAGCAGTTAGTCAGGGCACACAGCGACAAGGTTATTAAATACATTGTTTGGAGAAATGTCAACAATCCTATAGCCTTTGCTTAACCTTTTATGCTTGAGCTGCAAGAGCTCTTAGTGCTTACACCTGTGCTACGAGTCAGCATATCATCCACTACCTAAATAAGGACAGGGCAGTTGAAACATTACATGCTTCCCAAGAGTTTCTACCACAGTTGGATAAGCTATTTCCTTTTGGGAAGACGTCCCTTCATTAGGTGGCTAACAGACCCCTTGTCTTTACCCTTCTGTGGGGAAAACACCATTATCTTCTCTGAGGGACTCAGGATGTAAAGAACATGGGCTACTCTGCCTAAGGCAAGTTTGAGAAAAACATTTTTCCAGTGCAGTGTTCCAGCATCCCTGTGCTCAGACATTAGAGGCTGATACCAGCAGAGGCCACAGTTCTTTTATACAAGGCTGATACCACTGGTAATCCTTTTTTTTTTTTTTTTTATTTCCATATAAGATGCCTGTGATGGATACACTCACTGACTGAGTGAACAGTATTTTGGTTCAGGCATCACCAAAAAGCAGGCCTGACTGAAATCATCCCTGCAGTGCAAACCCAGAGAATCATCCTAAGCTGTATCTTACCCAGGAACAAAGGAGTTTAGGCCATGTCTTATCAGGAGCCCACAGTACCAGTCTGAGCTGGAACTAGTCAGATCTGAAACTGCTATAGCTGCACACCAAAAGGGGGTTTGACTGCAGGTCAACCACTTTAGACTCTAAATATCTGTAGCCCCATGAGCCCACTGAGCGCTCCCATATGGCAGTGGGCTGCTTGGCAATGATTTCACCCTTGAGCAGGGATGCCTATTAAGGTTAATTCTAAAGGCTGAAAGACCTCTTAACCAAACATCTGATATCTATAATGTGGTAGTAGGGACATTTTACATTAAGCCTAAAAGTATATTGTATACTAGCACTAGTTTTTTATATATCCAGCTATAGCTTAATATCAGAAGTGTAGCAAGTAGTAGAAGGTTGGACTAGAGTCTGAATTATTGTTTATACAATCACTTAAAACACTGTCAAATCAGTTTAATTTGCATTCAATTATTAATAACAATTCTACCATCATCAGATTTTTATTCAGTTGTCAATTAATTATCCTTTGATCATTGTCATCATTAATAAAACTTTTTTAGTTAACCCCACATTGATGACTTGATAACCCACCTGTGACACTCCCCTACCTGCAAAAGATCCAAACCTTAGTTTAGAATTAAGATGTACACAGGTCACTAGCTACCTCCTGACACTAAATCAGCCAGGAGCAGCTTAGATTTTACAAAACCAGGGAACAATTACACAAAGTGACTTTGCACAATCAGGTCCATGAGCTTTCAGGAGAAATGCCTCAAATAGGACATAAACTCCCATTATTGCTGTTCTTTGTAACTGTCCCTCTTGTGTGGAGGGAAACTTTCACCAAAGAGTCAGTTTGTACTGCAGAGTGAATTTCCATCCTAACTGTGCACCCAAATAATTCTACATTATTATTATTCTATTTAGCAATATTTTAAATACAACACTATGCCCTGTATATTAACAGGCAATGCAACAACTGAAATATTCCAAAAGCAACTTACCTTATTGTTGGAACATACAGACCTAGTGAAGCTGTCCAAGAAATACAAGAAAAACAATATAGATTAAGTTAAACAAATGTGCCAGTGTGTTGTACAATGAAAAAAAAAAAAAAGAAACCTACCTAAAAACCTAACTACATAAAAAGTTCCATGAAGACATGCCCTTAGGTCTTCACAGAAACACCACAAATTCAACAGGTTCCCAGGCAAACATGAAAAATGGGCAAGTGCAGTTTAAGGAAGGACAGAAGGCCCAAGTTACCTGCTTCTCCTCAAATCTGTCAATTCTACTAGAAAGCCTGGAAGAAGTGAACTAATTAAGCAACTACAAGTATGAACACATACTCTGTATGGGAACTGAATCTCAGTCATTTCTTGTTTGTGTAATTCTGTAGATTCCCATACAAGGAGGTAATCGATCTTGAGAAACTTCATCCATGGTGGATTTTGACTGGCCCACAACTTTGTTTCTGATGCATGACAAAGAATCAGGACACTGCTGATGACCCCAGAGGTCATTTTACTGCCTCTGCACTGTGTCTAACCTTAGAAAAAACAGGATGAACTCTGAACTTAAAATAATTCTACCCTACTACTCTCCTTTATTCTAACATTATTATAAAAAAAAACCAAAAAACCAAAACAGATTCAGAAATGCGTATGTCCTTTATTTTTGCTTAGGAATTCAATTCATTAGAGTGCAAACATGTTAAGGCAGAATTTAATGACTACTTTCCAAAGGACTTTCTGAATCTGTTGCAAAACTTTATCTCTCAGAGAAGGCGGATAAACTGGATTATACTCCCAGTACCTCATAGATAAAAGCAACTAGAGATTAACAAATGAGATTGCATGTGCTGACAATCTGAATTCATTAAATAGAGCAACTTGATCACACCAACTTGTCAAGATCAGATCTAAGTACTAAGACCATGGCAAACCCAGCCTATTTCAGAAGAAAGCACTGTAGCGACAAACATATTAAAAAGCCCATTTTCCAAAAATATGTCTGCACACTTTGCCTGAACAGATTTTGAATGAGCCTCTGGAATGACGCAGAATTTTCCTTATGCACTTCATCTAGGTCGAGGAACATCAGAGAAGGTGAAATTCTTTTCAATTTAAATTACTTGAATATGTCATTATGAATCTCCTGTTACAGTATTTTCTCAACTGCCTTACTAGACCAAATGTCCCTTAGTCACCTGTAGTTTTACACAGACTAAATAACTGTCAAACACAAATTCTGTTAACTTTGATGTTGTTGGTTTTTAACCCCAAGCACTTGATAAAAGTCTAACATCTGTTCTAATTGTAAATTTTTCTGGTCTTCCAGGCTAGTAATTCATTCTAGTTCACAATTTTTTTCTTCTGGTTTGATAACTTTTTACACAAGAGACGAAAGAAAAAATGTAACATCTTAGAAAATGGCTTCTGAAAATCTGTTTTTTTCCAAGAACTTCTCCTCTTTATAGGATAACACACGAGAGAGTGAGGACAAAACATCCTGTAGAACAGTTGTGTTAATTTCTCCTTATAAAGTCTTAACAAAGAGCCATATTTCAGACCCATTTTTTTAAAAATTGAAATAAGAAAGCACAGGTGGCAGTTAGTGCCTTTTTTTTTCCAAATAAGAAGTAGACACCAGTGGCTGAGCATCAGCATGGATTTTCTCTAATGAAAGGCAGTGCAGTTGGTAGCAGCTCAGATACTTCATTCTCAGTATAGCACCTTGATATTCTTCCATCTAATTTTGATGATTTCCAAACAACTTGTACCTTCAGCCTATTTTAAAAGGTAATTTTATTGAACATTGCACTGGTTTTTATGTGATTTCAGTAACGATATTTTTCTTCCTGAAATGCAAAATACAAATTCAACTACTTTCTAATAACTCTTACTCACCATGATGTTAGAAAACAAAATGTTTCAATAATGGAATTCAATCTACTATTATCTGCTTTAGACCTCACCTCCTTGTTATTTACTTAATACACTTGAGCAATAAGGACCTTGTCTTTCTGAATACCTTTGTTC